GCTTACTTATTACCTATTTCAAACAATGGAATTAGAAAACGAAAATGCATAAGGAAAAAAAAACCAATTGCTTTGCATTAGCAGGTCTTCAATTAAGAAGTCTGAAACATCTGCTACTAATTTTCTATTCCTGATAGAAGACGCTCATTAATCGCTATTATAAGAGAAGATGCACAGGCAAAATAATCATTTACTCAAAATTGTCCAGCAAAAAAAACCAATCATACTTCGAAAAGCGTACATTGGAAAAAATTCAGTTTTCCAAAATCAGAGCTGTCTTAGAAAAGAATTGAATTGTACGTACTATCTACTTTTTCATATGCTCACTGATACTGAAACAATTAAACTTGTTGTTTCGGCACAACAAAGTCTTCAGAGGTCGAGAAGAGAGTCAGTCACCGCCTACCATACGGTCTATAACGTCAAACACCTTCTCCATTTTATAGAATTGAGAATATTATTATAGAGACAATTCTCGAAATTCGCGTGACAACTCATTGAGTATCTCGCGCAAAAACTCATGTGAAGGCTTCAAATTGAGAAATTCTATTAATTGTGCGATATGATTTCCTATGAATGTATGAGATAATTATAAATAAAATATATTGAATGAACAAATTTAAAACTACTATTTTAGTCGTGCAGCGATGATCAAAGCTCAAAATCGCACAAACACAATAAAGGACTTAAAAATGACCATGGAACACAAACTGTGAAGCAGTCTGGACATCGTAATTAGCAATTCGCAAATATCTAGAATTAGACTGAATCGATAGGAAGAAAAGCGGAAAAGAAAAAAAAAACGGGAAAACGGCAGCAGAAGTGTACAACCTGCGTAATGCTAAATTTCGCACTAGGAGTCCTGCAGGGAGTACCCTGAGAGTAGCAGGAAATACCAGTTGATACTCAGGCAAGGCGAGGATCGTCCCGGATACGCAGGGAAATCAAGCTCGATTTCTGTGTCATCACAGGAGGTGGTTGTTTCTAGTTCACTCTTTGTTGTTTCAAGTACAAAATGAGGAATTTGGTCCTATCGACTTTAATTTTTCATATTTGAAATCCTAAAACCCTCAAATATTTCTTGTAAGTCGTCCGCATTTGTCTGTCTTTGTCATGTCTTCTGTGCAACGTGGAAGCAACTCTTTCTTACGATTTTAATGCTTTTAATGAACAAATGACTATCTCTGTGTTTTAGTAGCATGGCAAACCGATCCGCGCCTGCTCCTCGTCCTGGTGGTGCCAATAAGACCTGCCAATTCAAACTGGTGTTGCTTGGCGAGAGTGCAGTTGGTAAGTGTTGTTATTTGTTATGAAGTTTCGGGAATATCGATTAGTGTCACATGGATTTCATAATTATGTATCATAATCATTCGAAAAGTTCATGTATTCATAGCTATCGATTTTCTTCATAAACAGATGTAAATTGGGGAGGATGAACTTTGAACCTTTATTTGTGCTTTTTTCAGTCAGTCTTGATTTTCACGTTTGTTTGTGGTATCGTGGTGGATTTGATTGTTTTGCTTTGAGAAAGTAAATGCGTAAGAACTAAATGCTAAAGCTATGTTTTTTGGGGACCTCTATCTAAAAGTCCTTCATCTGTAGCCTTTCATGCAGCTCATAGCTGCAAAAGGTTGTAGTAGCTACTACGGGTAATAGTGGATATTTGTAAATAATATTTCGATCAGCCCCTCTGTTTTATAGACAACAATTTTTTTTGACATTTTAGTTTGAATGTGTGGATCTTACTACTCCATGAAGGGTAAAGATAGTTAATAATATTTAAAAAATGTCTTTTTTTGGTAAGTCCGAAAAGCATGAGCTTAAAATCTACGACGACGTTGTATAATACCACAGAATCTGGTTTTAGATTTGCCTCTTACATGATTGCTTATTATGGTATTGGTTTTTCCAGGAAAATCATCACTGGTTTTACGTTTTGTCAAAGGCCAGTTCCACGAATATCAAGAGTCAACTATCGGTGCTGCATTTTTAACTCAAACGGTACGCAT